AATATGGGCCAACATTTCTAAAGAATGCTTTCAGCACCTTGTTGAATCAATGCCACGTAGAATTAAGGCAGTTCTGAAGGCGAAAGGGGGTCACACACCATATTAGTATGGTGTTCCTAATAATCCTTTAGGTGAGTGTAGATTCAGCTACTTACCCTGCATGCAGGTAGGCGGAGCCTGCCATAACAAAATCATAAGGAAATAGTGTGCAATGACAACTTTATTGCTTCCAAAACATATTACTATACTATTAATATATAACATATTACTGATGCAAAATAACTGAATATTTCCTCCAGGCAAAAAGAATCGTGAGGAAGAAAAGTGTGCCTGGTCCCCATCCTTAGTGGTCACTGTGGGTTTTATAAACTGTTACTGAGAAAAGACACTGGTCAAATGGAAGCAGAAACACTTGACGGATAAAAAGGTTCTTTCCCAGGGCCATCACCCTACTGAATGCAGCCTGTGACTTTTTAAATATCGATAAAATATGATTATGAAGTGTGACAGGTAAGGAATTTTAAATATGTGTAAAGATGTACAGTGCATCACAGCGCCAGAAACGCCACAATTAATCCCCTGATCAAGCCGATTCTGATGACAAATCCATGACATCGCAGAAATTCCTTAATTAGCATCAGGTTTAATTAAAATCCCCCATTAATCCATATGTTGTGTTTCTGCATGAAGCTTTTTTGCTGACATAGATAGAGTATCTGTGTTAGGAGCATTATAAAGGCCCACGGCGGAGCTGACACGCAATGCTAATGTTTCATCACTCCCACAGGCCCCTGTGAAACTAGGACTCCCAGGTGGCCTAAAATTGGACCGACATCATTTGCTATGTTTCTAAGACCCACACATCCCGCAGTATCTCAGTCATCTGGGCCCAGGGACGTCATTGTGGGCCCTTCTGTCTCAACACCACCCGTGCTGACTGGTGTTGACTAACTGGAAGCCGCCTACTAGATTTCTGCAAGGCAGTTAGCGTAGCTGCTGCAAACAGTACTTTGCTAATTCTATAGAAGGACATGTTTCAAATAACTTAAATTAACTCAGATACAGTACATCAGTACAAAACAACAGAGCTTTCTGAATAATTCTAAATTTAACCTCTCTGAATGTTGCTGGCATTTACTTCTGGGGTTTGGTTAATTGTTTTCGTTATTGTGGTTTGCACCACAAGGTGCTGATAAGGAAGCTACGTACTGTATAAGGAAGCTTATAGCACATTAGCTGTTTGCCAGTAGCTTGTAGCGTGCTAGCAACTTGCAGCATGTCTGCAATTTGTGGTGCGCTAGTAACTTGTAGCCTGCTAGCAACTTGCAGCACATCAGCGGCTTGTGGCGTGCTAGTAGCTGTTAGCATGCTAGCGACGTGTGAAACGACCACAACTTGGTCTTTGTAGACCCTGAGGACGCTGCTGTGTGTGTTTGCTCTATTTCTCTCACTCTTCTTGTTCGATGCAAGTGTGAAATTAGCCATAACTTTAAAATAGCAAAATATTCAGGTCAGACTGGCAAGAACGGACACTGCAGATAATGAGCATTTGAGAAAGTCTTTATGACCCTCACCACGTTCTTTCAGTGTTAACCCTTAGCACCGTTTTGTTTTCGACACAGTGACGGAAAATGGCGACTTAAACCAGATCATCTCTACTTTTATCAGCAGACATGATGAGTAGGACACGTTCCCAAACGTAACACTCATCGCAAAATCAACCTTTGATCTTAATGTTTTTTCTAGTCCTGAATGCTAACTTTCAAAGTTCATTTCTTTTTCTGAAAATCATGTTTGTACAGAATTACAGAATTGTGGGTGTTTTACACAATTTTGCAATTCTTAGTTCCTCTTGATCTCTAACTGGGGACCAAAAGCTTCCTGATTAAAATCTCTAAGGGTATTTTACATCTTGCAAAAACATGCATTGCTTAACCTAAAAGTACTGGTGTTCAGCTATAGCAACAATTTTTTTGTTGACTAATTGTTAATACACAGTTGTATGGCCTATATATGTAAGCAATGCCATTAATGCCTTCAGTGTTTTACTGCCCAAAAGTGTTTTTGCTAATGTGCCATTGAAGCTGGATCAGTCCTGTGAAGCATCTAGCTGGACGAAAATGGAAGCTGTAAAATGTAAAATCTAAATGTAAAAGCACTAATATAATAAAAACTGAATCCGGAAGGAAGAGAGTCATCTGGAGAGTCTCTCTCTGTCTTTCCCCAGGTGGACGGCCAGGCATGTGGTGAGAAGGCCGACCCCGGGAGCCAGCTCTCCCCTGGGCTGTCATACCTGGATGAGGTCTGCAGGCTCCTGGAGGAGATCGCCAGGCTGCAGGCGAGGAACCGAGAATTGAAGAGAGAGAGAGATGGACTTCAGTACCAGCTGAGAGACAAGGAGAGACAGGTGGGGGGGGGGGGGGGCGGGAAGACCACCCTGAGCTCTGAGCCTCAGTGACGGCAAAAATAAGGTCAGAAATTTGATTAGTCTCTGGTTCGAACAGGAGTTGATGTCCGGACAATGTCTGTGTGGTGCTGCTGAGTCAGCCAGTGAGGGACCGGGGCAGAAGCGGAGGGGCGCCATGTCGAGTGGGCTTGCCCCCGGGGAGCAGCTCCTCTTGCCAGCGTTTCGGCGGCGGTCCATGTCCGAATCAGAGGCCCTCAAAAGTAACGTGGGTAAGCGATGACAATTACTTGATTGTTGGATGTGCTGAAGTCACTCTACCCAGAATGTCGTGATATAAAGTGTCCAGAAAAATTATTTTTTTTACTCATATAAGATCTGAACACGTTCCTGACTTTTGATGAGAGTAAAGTCTGATTGGCCTGCATGTCACTAATGGGAATGAAGCGCAGGAACATCACATGAGTCTTTTCTGTCTTCTTAATTTGCTCGGAAGATCACAAGAAAAGAAATGTTATTCCATGTATTTGATCACAGTAATACTTCTACATGTCAATAAAAGTAAAGATCTGATGTTATGTGGCCTGCAAACGTGGCCAGTGGTATCCCCGGACTTCATCTTGCAAGACAAAGGAGAAATTTTCTGAAAAGCCCAAAAGTCTTTACACGCTTTAGGCAGACTTCAGGTTCACTTTAGGCTATTTTTACTAGTGTACTTTCAGTTCAGAGCCTCATAACTCCAAGTACCTTTTGAATAACAAAACAACTTTTCATTTGACAGCAGGTAAAGAATTTTTAAGTGAAAAAAATGTACCCTGCCCCTACACACCTTATTTTGAGGCTCAAAAACAGCATTAAACAAACTTGTATATTTTTGGGGTGCCTGTCTCATAAAGGGGACCGTAACAGGCAAATGTTTTATATACAAGAGATGAATTTGACCCTGAAAACAGTAGCTTAGATTTATGCAAAAGTATCCTATTGTAAGAGTTAAAGCTCATAAGAAAAGACCCTGAATGATCTTTTTTTGCTACCCAAAATGAAAGTTATGTGTAAGTCACAAGCCAAATTCTATCAAAATCAAAAATGGTGACGCAAATGCCATTTGTTGAATTAAAATGGATTCCTCTGTGTTCCTTGCATCATGATGAAGGCAGACAGGTAACTATAACACCTGAGAATCCATGATTAAAGTTCATCTGGCCTAGATCAGTGTTTCCCAACCCGGCCACCGGGGACCCCCAGACAGTTCACTTTTCTGCTCCCTCCCAGCTCCTGGTAGCAAAAACATGGACTGGAAGTCTGTGGAAGCATCTGAGGATTTAGTTGAAGGAGCATCATGATATACAAGAAGGATGAGTTCATGTGTGCATGTTGGCCCTGCAGAGAGGTGGAAGGAGACACGGGTCCATGGGAGTACGATGCAGCTGACAGAGGTGGACAGCGGCAAGCAGACAAAAGCCAGACAGGTATGAACTGGGCTTACTGTGATCGCTCTGTGCTCTGATCGCTTGTGTGTGATCGCGCAATGGGTTTGGCTCAACAGGACAGAGTCAAATGGCAAACAGCCAGCCTGAATGAGACCTCAAGAGACTTTAAAGATGCCACAGAGGAGCCTAACAAGGAGCCTAGCAGGTATTTCAGAGTGGTGTCAAGCCGGTTATTAAATAACCTACGAGCCTGTTAACATCCCATGATGCTTAACCTACTATGGGACTGTGTCTTTCTGTTCATCCATAGCAAACAGAAACTGAAGAAGAAGCAGCATTCTCTATTCAAGAAGAAGTCCAAGAACAAGAGTGTCAAATAAAACAGAGCCGTCTTGCACCACTCCCGGGTTGTGGTGGTCAGGGGAGCCTGAGATTCAACGATCCCAAGCAGACCGATCTGTATCCACAGCCTCCTTCTGATAATTATTAGGGACTCTGAGCGTCTCTTTCTAAATGGAAGAGCTATTCGGAATAGCGATGTGAAGCTACGAAGCATCTTGATGGAGTACTTGCACTTCATTTATATACTGTTGGCATGTGAATAGCTCAGTGCTTAATTCGGGATGTAACCCGCTGCTTTTGAAGGTTTCTTTACAGCTATACGACTGATGTGTATGTAGAAGGCCGACGATCATATGTTTAATATATAGAAAGATTTGTGTAACGCGTTCACTTTATTCGTTTATATGATTGCTACGATTTAAATCTCTTACGTTGTGCCTGTATTTATACTAGATACAAGCATATCCATATACGCACATACACAGGGAAATAAACGCCCGCACACTGATTCACCTCACGCGGGTGATCAACTGAAAGCACGGCATATTTTACAAATACAGTATAATAATAATGGTAACGTAACAAATCATGTCATCATTCCAATCAGGCACGTAGTATTCACCCGCGTTCACACAAATCTTATTTCTTAAAATATCTAATCATGACTGATTACTTACGTTTATGTTATTTCCCCACAGGCAGAAAAATTTATATTTAGTGAAGCACATATATGAAATATTTAAAAGGGTAACGATTCTGTTTCGTAATGTGAGCTAAATTATTTAATCAATAAATTATTCGAATTTCTTGTACTTTATTCTTTATTTTTTTTAAATAAAATACAAGCACAATGTAGCACAATGAGCAGGTTTGTATACCGTTCCCTTTCATTATAATTTCATAAAAAAACGACACGCATACTCATTTCTCAAGTATAAAAATATCAAATTGAAAAGACAAAATTGCGCAATGCATTTGCCCTTTTGTTTAAGCCTAAGATAGCTGCGATCGTTTGTGCTGTCAGCCTAAGATGAGAAACGGCACCAGACAGAAATCTCCGTTGTGGGGGAGGGTTTGGGGGATATATGTCACAAGATATTTGGAAAATTTCAACCGCAATTTAGCCCTCAGAAAAGCACAGCACTTACAGGGGGTGATCCTCAGCTAGGTACTATACATACGTTTTTTTTCCATTTTTTGATCCGTAGTAGCGCTTTATTTAAGAATGGGCTGATGAGGCAGAGCGAGTCACGGCCGCCTGCGCCCACTCACGGCTGAGTCAGAGAAGGACGGGTACGCGTGTGCGCGCCCGTCTGTGAAGAATGGTGGGGAGGAGCTTCATGTCAATTATCACCGATTTCGCCACGCCCCCTTCTTAGCCATGTTTACAGGAAAACGCTAAGGTCTGGGAGGGGGGGGGGATTGTGATTTGTCATCACAGGTAATAGTGATTAACATTTGACTCGTGAACAGCTATTCTGTTTAAAGAGGAAGCCATCATCCTCGTGTCTGGGGGAGGAGGGTCTTGTGATTTGCCACGTGCAAATATTACAGTAAGACAAAGAGGAGATCATCAACAATAGATGAAGGCACTCTGATTTTGGAAACCTACATTACACACGTTTTACTGAGCGAGATGCCATTGGGCGTGAAGCTGAACAGCCCATCCCCGTGGCGATCGCCATCCCATCAGTGTGTTTCATCCTGTAACCACAGCACCCTCGGGAAGGCTGGATGCCGAGACACCTGTGCTGACAGAGCCGATTCCAGCAGCAGGGATGAGGCAGAGCGACTCGTGGACCAGTGAAGTCAACATTTACTGGATATGAATACTGTGTCCTGTCAGCCCTCACTATGCTGTTTGCTGCTTGGACAGAGTGGTTACCTGGGAGACTGTTGGTGACAGTGACAAGAAAGTCCTTGTGACACTGAAAAGACTCCCGTGCATAGGTGACCTTGGATTGTGTCTGGGTTCTGAAGTAAATTGTTTTATTTAAATCTGTCGCCTCTTTATTTTGTTCAGCATATTGTGAGAAATTATGTTTGTGTGTAAAATCACTGTAAAAAGTATATTTTTTGTGTTGGTCAACAGAGTTAGGCAGAATTAAAATAATAAAGCACTCAACTGGCAGAAATTATGTTTATTATAAAACAGGAAGAAAAATCAAAGAGGTCCTGGTTCTGTTCTGGTGTTATCAATACTTGAATGAATCCCCCCCCTCCAACATTACAGTACTGTGGTGTTTTGGTTGTAGAAAAGCAAAATAATGATGCATGGATCAGTGTGACGTAGGCCTGGAATGCTGGGGAGATGGGGGGGGGGGGCTAGGGGCGGGGCCATAGTGACTCTGGGAGGGGGGGGCTGTGAAGCTGAGAGCCTCCTTGCAGCTAGTTGTGTAAGAGGCGGCACGCCCATGTCCTCTGCCCGTGTCACCCACTGTCTGTCCACCTGGCCTGTCCGCATGCCCTGGGGGGTCAGTCCCCTCCCGGAAGTAGCCCTCTGGGTTGCCGCGAGGGGGGGGAGCACCACGTCTATTTATAGGACAGAATGTGGGTCGGCTCGCTGGGAAACGGTGATTAAAGGCCCGCGGTTACACAACGGCGTGCGAGTGCGGCGGGGACAATGGAGAGCCCTGTGGCAGAGTGCGTGTCTGTTTATGTGACGGGCATCCTGTGGGCGACCCGCTCCTTTGTTTGGCCGGGCCTGATGCCTGTCACATTCTCCAGGGCCCAGGTACATGGCTTTCCATTTGAGGTCATGAGATGGTGTGTGAGCCTGTCTAGGCACTGGCATTGTGTGTGTGTGTGTGTGTGTGTATAGTTGTGCATCTCCGCATTGGCATGTGAATACCAGCATGCGTTTCTGGCTCACCACATGTGTGTTTCTGCACTTGTGTGTCTCATAGCTACATGCGTGCGCCGTTGCACATTTGCATTTGCAGCCCCGCAGTTGCATGCAGCCCCTCGCTCTCGCCACGGCTCCGGGGAGCTCAGAGTTAAAGAGCCTCGTCTCCCTGTTGGATGGAGGGATTTTTTTTTAGTGGTGCTGAGAACACAGGATCCAGTCTGCAGTAGCTCTGCAGCGCAGACTGCGGAGAGAGAGAGAGAGCGAGAGAGAGAAGGAGAGCGAGATACAGAGGGAGAGTGAGAGAGAGAGAGAGAGAGAGAGAGAGAGAGCAAGCACACACCTCGCAAGTAGAGCAACGGAAGCTGCCAGCGGAAAGGGGGGAGAGACCAAAGAAGAAATTTCAACGTCGGCTCGCAGAAGAGAGAGCAAGGAGAGCCAAGCAGGAGCGCAGGCTGCTGAAGGGAGGCTGTAGGAGGAGGCCTCGGTGTGATTACATAAAGAAAGAGGACAGACAGTGGAGCGGTGAGGAGGAGTGAGGAGAAGCCATCAGGGATGATGGAGAGGCAGCTGTGAGACACAACGCAGGATCGACAAAGAGGAAGGAGCTGGAGGTGAGAGCGGGACTGCAGCACCAGGGACGCAGCAATAGTGAGGAGGTGGGAATAGTGAGGACGCAGCAATAGTGAGGACGTGGGAATAGTCGTGAAGGAACGCAGCTTGATTTTTTTTGGCTCTTTCCGAGCAGACTGGCAAAGCCGTATTGGAGGACCCGTCCTCACACGCATCCCCTCGCCGGGCATCCCACCCCTGCCTCTGCACCTCGTCGCTTCCTCACCTCCGCCGCTGACATGCCAGAGATCAGGATCCAGCAGCCATCCAGAAAACCGGAGAACATTATGTAAGATTGGGAGCATGTAACCCCCTGGCGGCAGTGAACCGGGCTGCCAGACCGGACTGCCGAACGGGACCATCAACCCGGAGCATCAACCCGGAGCATCAACCCAGAGCATCAACCCGGAGCATCAACCCGGAGCATCAACCCAGACTGCTCCTGTCCCCGGTTCTTGACACCGCCAGGACCCAAGACTGGGTTCAAAAGGACTGAATCGGGGAGTAGTACCACAGGTCAGAAAAGCAGATGCGGCTGTGTATGTGTGTGTGTGTGTGTGCGCACGCATGCGGATGTGTTTGTGTGTGTATGTATGTATCTGTGTGGGTCATGTATATATTACACTGTGGGGACCAAATATCCCCACAGTGTGATAAAAACCTGTTATTTTGATGTTGTACGGATCATTTTTTCGAGGAGAAATTCAATTTTCTAAAAATCTCTGACTGCAATCAAAAAACTACAAATGCCGAAAGTCTTGTAATTTGTTGGGTTACTTATGGTTAAGGTTTGGGCTGGGTTGGGGTTAAGGTTGTTATTGTTGGGATTACGGTTTCGCCGATAGAAATGAATGGACGATCCCCACAAAGATATAGATAGAAACGTGTGTGTGTGTGCATGTGAACACATAACCTCTGGCTGTTGTTCTTTGTTTGTACATTTGGTGATGTTGATGGTGTGAAATTGCACGCTCACTATTAGACATGGTAAACATGTATCTTCCTGGGGAGGTGCGAGAGGGGGCCATATTTACATGCTGTCAAGGGTACAGAAACGCAGAGCGTATGCAGATGGCGCCTTGCGGTGGATGTAAGAGAGGCCAGCCTGGCGACATTGTGGTCATGGTGGACGTGCCGTGCCGCACCTGCTGGAACCTTCCGGAACCTTTCTCCGGGCACCGCGGTGACCCCTCACATTTGTTAGCGGCTCTGTGAATGAGCACAGTATGGAAACAGGTGAGGCGGGTAGTATGTGAGAGCAGCACAGCCACGGTGGGGGAGTGGTGGTGGTGGAGGGGGGGGGGGTGGCTGTGACTGCGTTCGCTGCACTTGCAGGTTTTGCGGCTGCGCTCTTTCAAAGTGTGAGAACAAAGACGCTCGAAGACAGTCCGTCACAGCCGAGGCTGCTGGCGGCTCGCTTGGGGACGAAGCGTCAGATGGAAAATCAGCGCCCCCCCCCCACGCTCAGATGTATACAGGCGTGCACACTCCGGACGTGGGGGCACCTGATCACTCTGAGACTGATTTTCCGGAGCGTGGGGGTGGTGACCTGTGGTGGAGTGAGGCAGGGGCCTTGCAGGGCATCATGGGCAGGCGCAGACATAGCAGGTGTAACGCACGCAGGCAGACCGCGGAGGAATGTGCTGGAAAGATTGTGAGCAGAGGCTGTGTGTGTGTGTGTGTGTGTGTGTAAGGGGGGGCAAGTTAGAAGGGCGCCGTTGGTAGTGTGGGAGGTGACGAGCGGGTGTCAGTCCCACCCCCTTCACTTTTAGTTTCTTTTTCATTTGGCGGGGGTAGGCATTGCATGTAATTAACCTGGATGGCGAATTCGTTGGTGTTCCTCCCTGCTGGCTCGGCGTCACCCATCTCTGTGTGGGCTGATCTTTCCATTTTCTTACTGCTGTCAACTGCTAATTTGTTAATTGTGTGCCTCCCTACGTGGGAAGCCCGTCATGTGACCGGGGGGAGGCCATGGGGGGAAGGACGTAAGCAGCTCTTTGAGGTGTGTGTGTGTGTGTGTGTGTGTGTGTGGGTGGGTGGGTGTGGGTTATGTATATATTACATTGTCATATATGTGCGATAATAACCTGTTATTTTGATGTTGTGGGACCATTTTTTCAGTCCCCACAAGGGGAGACTCGATTTGATAAAAATCTGTGAATGCAGTCAAAAGTCTTAGATTTTGTTTGGCTACTTATGGTTAAAGGTTAGGGCTGAAGAAAAGGTTAAGGGTGTCGTTGCTGGGATTAGGATTTGCTCCAGAGAAATGAACAGAAAGTCCCCACAAGGGTATAATTACAAACCTGTGTGTGTGTGTGTGTTTATGTGTGTGTGTGAAAGCAGGTCTGCTACGAATTCCTGCTGTGGGCAGGACCAGCTCAGCCTGGCTTCCTCCCCCAGGGCCCAGCAGGCTAACCCCCCCCCCTCCCCCCAGGGCTAGCGGGGGCTCTCTGGCAGGAACAGCATGCTCAGCAGGGGGAGGAGCCACCAGCGGTGTAGAGGGCAGCCTGGAACGGTGGTTTTTGGACCCATGTGCATCCTCAGGTGACCCCCCACCCCCAGTAGGCAGCACAGGCTATCCCGGGGTGGACGGGGCGGGGGGGTAGCGATCTGCTTCTCTTCAGAAAGCCGTATCTGCCTCAGTCCATCAGCCAGACAGGAAGCCCTTGCCCAGCAGAGCTGATAGAGAGTGAGCTAACCACCTTGGTGTGGCCCTTGGGCACCCCTCCCTCTCTCCCGGGGCCCTCCTCGCCTACAGGTAGCAGCCCCTCAATCAAGAGTCCGACGTTCAGTGTGTCATGTCAGTGTATGACTGAGCCCAGGTCTCCAAGTGACATGGCGGCTGGTGTGGGGGGGGGGGGACTCTGCATGAATGAATGAGTGGAATGTTTCGGTTGACAACAGGGCATACATCAGACGCACCCCCCACCCCTCCGCAGCAGCCCTCCATGCCTGTAGTGGTCTGGTCTGTGTTCCTGAGAGCCGTCCTTGTCTGTGACCGCCCCCCCCCCCCATTTCCCTGCCACATCAACAGAGTGGTACGGCCGGCACTGAAGTCACAGCTGCAAATCCCAGCTGGCACAGTGGCCCCAGTCGGGTTGGGGGGGGGGGGGGGGGGGGGGGTGCTGTAGCAATGTGGCTAATGGAATCAACCTATGTATATTTATGGGTCCTCAGCAAACTTGTTTACCAAATTAATCCCTCTGCCCCCCCCCACCAAAGCAACATAATGTCACACACACACACACATGTAGGGTAAACATATCCTTATGGGGACCACTCATTCATTTCAATGGGAAAAAGGCTAACGCTAACTATGACAACCTTAACCCCTACCCTGCCCTAAGCATAACCATAAGTAACCTAACGAAATACAAGAGTTTTTAGATTTTTAGTTTTTTCATAGCAGTCACCGATTTTTATAAAATAGAGTTTCCTGGTCCTCATAAGGGAAAAAAAAACGGATATTTATCACGTTATGGGGACATTGTGTCCCCATAAGGATAGGTAAACCCGCTCACACAAACACACACACACACACACTCACACATACACACACACACGCTCGACTAACACTCATTATCTGTGCGGTGACCTGCTGCATTTTTAAACAGAACAAGCAGCTGCGTCATCAGAAATATTAAAAACTTAAGTACTAATAAAAATGCCTGACAGTGAGATGAATAGCATACAGAACCCACATGGATAACCCCTCCCCCCCCCCTTTCAGGAAGGGGTTAGGGAGGCAGGGGCTGCACAAGCTGATCGGAAGCTGGTGACTGTGAGCCCCCCCATTGAAAGTGTTTAATTTCAGCAAGGCTGGCAAACAAAATCTCTCTGCTTCCGTCCCCAGGCGCTTGAGCGACGCCCCCCAGCCAATCCCTGGCGGAGGATTATGCCAGAGCGGCCCGCCCCCGCGTGACAAGACGACGTGCATCCTGGGCATCCATCCTGCCAGTGCCCCCCCTCGCTGCAGCCCAGTGAAGAGAGTCACGGAGGCTGAAGGGAGAGGAGCACGCCGAGGAGCTCATGCCTGCCCTGACCTGTTCTTGCCGCGGCTGAAAGACGAGGCCTATTTTCGGCTCCAGAGCCTCTTAGCGTAAACGAGAAGGGAGCACAAAGTCAGAACAGACACAGCCTAACTCCCTATCCTGTGGGTCTCCCTGGGCCTGAGCGTGTCTCTCATCTTTTTATTGGTGCAAATACTGAAGCATCCTGCCATAGTGCGACGTTCAACGTCCCAGAATCCCCTGCTCCGACTGCCCAGAGTATTACCTTGGAAGGAATTGTGATTTTCGGAGCTCCTCCTCCATTGGGTAGCCCAGCACTACTGTCACCATGCGCAGGGACCTCATCATCCCCCGCGTTCCCGCCAAAGGCTGATGGCAGAGAGGGTTTCACTGCATTCCTGCTAATTTGCCGCCCAGTGCCGCAACTGGCCTGATGAGCTGAACTGAATCTCCCCCCAGTCGAATTCCTGCCCACCCTGCCGGCCCCGATTCTACCGAACGCATGTCCTGCCTGAGGCGCCAGCCCATGGCCATCCCCATGGATACGGTCAAGATCATCCAATCTGAGAAGTTCCCCCACGAGTGCCCCGCCCCCGTCACACAACCCCGCTATGCGCCGCCGCCGCGCGTGGCCTGGGACGGGGGCGGAGAGGGTGAGGTGATCGTGAACCAAGCCTGCGGCGACATGAGCCTGGACGTGGCTGTGGGCACGGTGGCCCCGCGGCCCCTTGTTTCACCACCACGCCCCCTGCCACCAGCACCTGCCCGCCGCGAGCGCGGCTACCTGTCCCAGCGTAAGACCAGTGCCACCGACATCTGCTACCACAGCCAGTTCCACTACAAGATGGACGACGTCATCGTGAACCAGTACGTGCTGCGCTCAGCCTCCTCATCCTCGGCCTCGGTGGCGGCGGCAGTGGGCGGGGCCACCTCGCCCTGCGAACCGCTGGACTGCCCCACCTGTGGCCACACCTACAACTTCTCCAGCAAGCGGCCGCGCATCCTGTCCTGCCTGCACTCGGTGTGTGAGGAGTGCCTGCAGATCCTCTACGAGTCCTGCCCCAAGTACAAGTTCATCTCCTGCCCCACGTGTCGCCGTGAGACCGTGCTCTTCACCGACTACGGCCTGGCCGCACTCGCCATCAACACCAGCATCCTGGGCCGCCTGCCGTCCGAGCCCGGAGCCACCGTGCAGTGGGGCGGCGATGGCGACCGCAGCTGCTACCAGACCGTGCGGCAGTACTGCCAGTCTGCCTGCACCTGCCAGCTGACCAACCCTCTGTCATCCTGTGGAATCATGTAGAGGACCCTGGCCCCTCCCACATCTGACTCCACCCCCAACCCCCTGACCACACCCCTTACACAGATATATCTATATATTTAATAGCGCTGGAAAAGACTAATGTGTAGAGGAACTAAAAAGGATACACACAGCAGATGGGAATTATCTAATAAATGTATTTATGTATGGACTGCATCTCTCCCTGGATGTGTTTGTCGCTCTCTCTGATCTCTCTGGCAGGGATTTTCCTCCGGGCCCCAGGGTTACTTTGAGATCAAGAATAAAATCAACGAATTGCTCGATCCAGTGTTTCTGGAGTCATCTTGGTCATTCCGCCTAAAGTAGGAAGCAAACAGTTAAGCTGCAAATCCAGAGGTCTGTCAAGCAGGAAATCTTTATCTGATCACTGGTACAGGCTGTGATGACGGCGGTTGTGAGGAAGTAGGTGCTTATAGGGTGGTTTGCTCCGCGTAGCTGGGCTCTGCTCTCGAGGGAACTTCCGTTTCATCTGGGCCTTTGTGGGCCCATTAGCTGCTTCCGGCCAGTAATCAGTCCTAAAGCCAGGCGGTTATAATCACACATCCTGACGGTTCCCCTTGATGGCAGCATTTGGACAGCCCTGTCCGTCAGAATGCAGGCATGTTATCAGATCAGATAAACTTCTACCACATGACGTGTGATGTCAGCTGAGCACATGAGCTACATCCAACTGGATTTGTCTCACATTGACTTATTTGCAGTTTCAGTCCTGGGAATGTCCTGGGGGTGCATGGTCAACGACCATTTGTGGGTGGGATTAGAACAAAGAGTGACATCACACATGATAATTGATGGTTTATGAAAGTCTCGCCCACTGTGGGTCAGAAACTGTCCAATCACAGGCCTTTTAAAGATCATCTGACCATAGTACCAAATACGACTTATTTTATTTAAGAGAAATGAGGGTGCCATTTACAACAATAGTTAAAAATGAGATTCACTGTGCATAAAAAGTCAAAATATGGCTGGGGACAGGTGACTCAGGCATAGTTTTCTGCTAACATCACTCACAGTCAGCCTCCGGTCTCTAAGGTCCTGCTTTGCTGAATGAAGGTACCTTTTGGCCACTTACCACCTGTTACATTAAGTACATCACGAAAACAATTCAGACCATGTTATAAACACCTATGTTACAATAACAGTTTCCTGATAACTGTAGTTGCAAATGTGAAAATGGCTTCACGGGTGGCAATACTATTAGGGGCCGAAGGGATAGATTTTCGTGAGTTTTCTATGCGTGTGTGTTTGGGATGGATGTCCTATATAGAGAGACCTGCAGAACTGCACTTCCCACACACGAGGAGTTCCTCCGTGGGGGCACGAGAATCTACTCATTTCACACCAGCTGGTGATGAAATTGGTCACACAGGGTCTGATGAAATCAAGTCCTGCTTTTGGCTGGGAACGACCAGAAAAGAATTCAGGTTAAGGAGGACAGCTAGTTGGGGGGTGGGGGCAGCTGGTGCAGGTGGAATGCCCCGCTTTCTAAACAGACAAGTTGAAGGTGGTTAACCAGGAAGGCTCCACTCCAACGCTCATTAATACTTAACAGAATGGATGAGGAATGGAGGAAATTAGTGGTGGAGCTTGACTTGACTCCTGTACAAACAGAACTTTTGACAGAACATACCATCATTGTTCACGATATGAAGGCGGCCTCGTTTTCCATCACTCTGACACCAAGCAAGTATTTGCACTGAATATAGTAGGATAAAAGGTATACTTTTATAAATTAAATTCACAGTAGTCGCTGATACATAGATAAATACAGCCCTGCTTTAATATTCTTTACATCAAATGAGCGGATCAGCAGCCAGTGCTTCACTAAAAACGTGCCTTCAGTTGCACGTATTTGTTCTGGGACGAGTGAAGATCACAGCGAGGGGGAAGTAGAAAGAGAGGGACTCTGCAGATGGGGGGTTAGAGGCTGGGGGCCTTTTAAGGAGCTGGGGGGGGGCGCTAGCCGAAGTAGGCGTAGAAGAAGACGGCCACAGTGAGGAGGACGATGGCATTGGCATTGACCACATTCCTCCAGACGGGGTCCTCCGAGGTGTCGGTCAGCTTCTTCTGCAGCTCAGCCTGCTCCTCGGGGCTCAGCTCGGGGGCTGCGCTTTGCTCGAAGCCACAGAACCAGTTATAGGCCTTTTTCCAGCAGCTGGGGTCCTCGGCGGGCTCTGGGGACACAGAGGGGGACAGCGGGATGACACGGGGGACGCCCATACCTCTCAGCAGTCAGCGTAGCATGTACACAATGCAGCTACCCGGCTTGTGAGATACTGCAGTTATACCTTAGTGCAGTGTCTCCCAATCTGGTCCTCGGGGACCCACAGTCAGTCCATATTTTTGCTCCCTCTGAGCTCCCTGCCAGACAGTCCACATTTTTGCTTCCCCCAAGCTACCTGCCAGACAGTCCACATTTTTGCTTCCCCCAAGCTACCTGCCAGACAGTCCACATTTTGGTAGGGAGCTGGGAGAGAGCAAAAATGTGGACTGTCTGTGAATCCCCGAGGGCCGAATTGGGAAACGCCAGCTAAGAGTTCTGAGATCCAGCTCTATAAACGAGTCTGATTATAACTCAGCTGTGTAATAAAATAACGTCTGACAGGATGTTCTTTCCCGTTGCAGGCACCAGGAGCCTCATGCATCTAGTAACATCATTATAACCTCGATTGAATCTTTCATAGGGAATAATGCTGCTAGTTAAGTGAATTAAACCAGCGACTTGGTGTAACTGGTTTGGAAACGCAGGAGTCAGCCTGTGCAGTGCCGGACGCAGCAGGGAATCGCAAAGCTGCACAGTGTCAGCAACACAGCTCACACTGAAAGCTGTAGCAGTATGCAAACAACATCCCTTGGGATTCACACCCGTGCGTCCTATCTCCTTGCTAAATAAACACACCCAATATGTTTATCCTTACAGAACAATTGTAAAATTAAGTCGCTAAGTGTAATTGATGCTAATTACTGCTTTGATGAAAATGTATTTTAAGGTCCTGAACAGAAATGAATGACACAGCATACGTGGATGTGATTACGGCACGTAACAGTGCTCCACCTATTGGTCAATGGCGTGAAATGCGCCTCACCTTCCACCTTCATGGATTTATCGTTGCTGGATTTAGTATCCCAGGTATCCACCTCCAGGTCCACCCTCTCTTCAGTGCTGTTCCGCAGACTCCAGCAGAGTCGGTGTAGCTGAAAGCACATGTGGATGGGGGTGAGAGATGGAAAGAGCCTGACTTAGCTAGAAGGTCCAGAGGTCCAGTGATTTGGCCATGTTTTTCTGATACTCCAACCCATAGATTTTTCAAAAAATCTAAATTAGCTATATATAATCTAAATTAGCTATATAATCTAAATTAGCTAATTTTATAGTTATGTTCATATATTTGCAGTCATCCAAATCTATCGGTTTCGTTAGTGTGGTTTGTTATTCTGAATTTCATGCCTGCAAAACAAAGGGTGAGGAAATCAACGGGAAAAAAAGTCAGCATGGGAAGCAAGGGTAAGCTGAGATGGGGGGGTGCGTGAGCGAGCGGAGAAGTGGGCCGCTGGCAGGGAGCGGCAGAGAGGCAGATGGGCTGGGAGGTGCCACCCAGCACGAGGAACGCAGAACTCCTCTCTGCAGCGTCGCCGTGGCGCCTGCCGCCAGCACCACGAATAGATTTATTGCACGCTTCGCCATATGGATGATCTGAAGATCCCTGCCCTCGATTTACTGCTTTTTTATACAGGTGGGCCAAATGAGAAGGGCCTTCAAGGGTTAGGGCGGCCACGTGGGTCCTTTACGACCCAGCGGTCCTGGGAGTTCTGGGCGGCCCGTCGAGTTACCTGGGGCATCCGGTCAGGTGACCTAAAACCCAGTTTAACGTCCTAGATGGGACGGTACAACCAGGATGCCAGCTGGCCACCAGGGGCTCATCCGGCTCCCAGTGAGAGGAAGTACCTTCGCAGTGGAAGAGGAAGTGTTTTTCACAGAGAACGCCGTCCACCAAAATGTTGCCCTGCAGGAGCCATTTTGTGTAAACATAGCCAGCCTGACTGCGTTTTCATGTCTGTACCAACGTCAAACATTCAACAGTCATTTTTGTTTGGGACCCCATTTCTGATGTACATTTAACCTCTTTCTAACACGATAGTGGATACCAGTCAATGACCAATCGGTTTCTTGGGGGGCAGGGCCCACCAGTTTGTTGGGTGGAGTCAGACTCACATGCTTGTCATCGATGGGCTTGGTCATCAGAGATATGGCCAGAATGAGCACACAGGAGGTTCCAAACAAGATGAGGGCAAAATAGAGGTAGTGAACACCGCAGATGATCTTGGGGCAGTTGCTGGGGTTCACACAGCTGCCCGTCCCATAGGCAAACTCTGCAATCATCCTAGCCAGTCCAATGACCAACCCCACCAGCAGCCCATAGAAGGCCCCCTAGTGGAGAGATAGAGAACTCAGGTCACTAAAGCATGTGTTTCCAGTACAAGAGCCTAAATTTGTAAGATGATCAAATGAAGAGGAAGCAGAAGCAACAGTAGGTGCCATAATGTGCTCCTAATTCTTGGTTTGCAGCTCCATGCGACTCTTGAACCTTCACAGCAGTAATCAGTAATCTATTCATTTGTATACATGGATTTCAAATGGTAAACAGCTTTGAATGCAGGTGTCATGCAAGTAAATAAACATAGAGATGAACACAGAGTGTGAATCGAGAAGATGTCATGGAATGACTGGTCATATAAAAAGAGCCCTGTGCTGTTAGGAAATGTGTTTAAGATGTAATCCTTCCTCTAACATAGATATACAAGCAGATAAAGTGGTAAATAGTGGGACCAGATGAAGAGATATGGGTGGGTGGACAGAGGCATGAATGCCTGAAGTGGTAAACCGGGAGGCCTAGGGTTTGGTTTGGAGATATGAGAGGCTGCTAAGCTGAATGATCAGTCTTGCATCTGACCAATGATCTGGTTTGGTGACATGAAAGATGTTGTCCTGTGATGTAATTTTTTGGGCAAATTCCAAGCACTGGGAGCACTAGGCGAACTGGGAGAACTGGAAGGACTTTATGCAGGAATGCAGAGAGTTTGGAACGGACGTTCACCGGCTCATTGACACGCTTGCAGAAGATGCCCAACAGGAAGACGGCGGCGATGGGTGGGCCGAGGTAGCTGGTGATGGACTGGATGTAGTCAAATAGCTGACCGCTCTGTCCCGTCTGGACGATAGGGATCCATGCAATGCTGACAGCAATCAGGCCTAAGATAAAAACCCTGTGCAAACAGCAGGTGGCGCACTGGTTAGAGACCTAGATTTACTTGGGGGAAAAAACTTTGAGTACCCTCCAGTCAATAGAGTAAATGAATCAAGGTCAAATTGTAAGCTAGTGAAAGAATCTACTTCAAAGCAAAATAATACAAAGCTAACGATCCTGAGATTAATTAAGTTCAGAGTTGATTAGCTATTTACACCTATTGACACTTACATTTCTGGTTCACCTTCAGAGGTTCACGCCACCCCACATGGGTAAGTTACAGTACCTGCCAGCGATCATGAGTTCCTTTTCGGAGGCAGAGGGGCGGATTTTGGTGTAGATGTCCATGGTGAAGAGCGTGCTGGCGCTGTTAAAGATGGAGGTGAGTGAGCTCATGAGGGACGCCAACATGACTGACAGCATCAGTCCCCTTAGGCCTGTGGGGGGGGGGGGGGGGATGAGGGGTGGAGAATTAAGGAAGGAAGTGAGAGGCCAGTAAATGAGGTGTTGAAGTAACAATAGCAGCTGTTCTATTTTATGTTGGGCCTTGACCTCTCTGACCTGTTATTTTTACAGTGTAACTGATTTTTTTGAAGAGGCCGTGTAAGACACTTCATACTCTTGCTGAGCTAAAGAGTGTGTGATTTCCAAGAAGATGGCATCCATTGCGTGCGATTAGCCAGCAAAACAACTGGCGCTTCCGTTTTTATTGTTACCCGTTGCCGTGTGAACTAAGTCACTTCCCTCTGCAAACACGGCGTGCGGACGCTGCCAGACGGCGCACCTAACGTCGGCATGGGGGGGTGTTAGAACACGGCATGCGCTACACAATGACTCAGGCTACAGGGTGGGTAAGGGTGTCTCGTGCTCCAAGCCGCCACAAGTTGGCCACGGGTCCAGCCTCTCGTGACGTCTTGCAGAAGTTGCAGTGATATTTTTCCGAGCCTGGATGACAGTGAATCGACCGAGCAGCTTCCCAAATTCGGCAGAGCGCCTGACCCAGTGGAGACTTTCAGGCATGTGGCTGTAACTGGCTAGGTAGGCACGCATAAACAGTTACTGGGCAGTTTACCAAACACGGTAGTCCAAATTCTACACAATGTTCTCTCTGGTCAAAACAGGCGTGGAAAAACAGGGGAGATGGGCATTTATGAGATGGGCACAAATCCTGCCGAAATATTTGTGGACATCTGAGAACTCTTAATAGAATTTAGAACCCTTTCTCCAGAAGCTCCAAACCCGCTGCCTACTATAACAAGAAAATACATTTAGAAGGTACATTTGTCTGTTGTATCTGGAGGCAGAATATTTCTTTTGATGAGATCTTGTTGCAGTCTTGTTGTCTCCAAACAGAAGTATTTATACACATCTGTTCCTTATTGAGTTCCTAGAAGTATTTAGGTTTCTGAAGCTGTATGCCCATGTGACATTCAGTTACTCCTGGTCAGTTTCCACTGAAGGGCTGTTCCCTACATGCCAATCACAGGCCATTTTCTCTCAACAGCCATAGGCAAAGTAAGCAATCATAAGTGGTTTAAACTTGCAGGTTATCGAGAGCGTTTGATAATCCTGCCCACTGTGCTTTATTTCATTTGTTTACTTAGCAAATCTTCATTTCAGTGCTTGATTTGTTCATTTAATGGAAACATGCCCCCTATTGGCTGGAGGACTCCCAGTCACTGGTGGTCAACTTGTGCTGAGTTAAGCCCTTACCGTTCGGCATGAGGTCCACTACCATCTTGGGGTAGGCGATATTGGTGCAGCCCACACTCGTGCCACAGTAGGCCTGACACTTTTCCGGCTCAATGCAGGCAACCACATCTGCAGGTGAGAGTCATACGTAAAAGACAGGGACTGGAGACCTGGTCAATCTGCCAGATCTCACTCCAACAAACAGGTCACTGACATGGATAGAAGAATGACACGAGGCTGCTGTCCATGACGATGCGTGTCACGGTATCATGACACTGCTGGCACGCAGTGCACATGAACACAGACATACAGACAGCCCCCACCTCGCCCGCCCCGCCCCCTTACTGACCGCCCCGCCCCCTTACTGACTACCCCGCCCCCTTACTGACCTGTGTACAAGATGCGGCTGATCATGCCAGGGAAGACCATGAGGAACATGGGAAGCAGCTTCAGGTAGCCGCACAGGATGCAGCCGGCCTTGACGTGAGACATGTTCTTTGCAGACAGACAGCGCTGCACGATCACCTGTGTGTGTGTGTGTGTGGGGGAGGGGGGGGTCAGACATGGTAGGGGACATTAAGAGCAGTATCCATAGCAGCATGTCCTTGTAAATCATGCCTCGCTTTGATGTGCTCTGCAGAGGGGTGATTCACACGCGTGTCCAGATACATGTCTCACGTTAGAGACTCGCCCCGTGCTCCTGTGCAGTCAGTACCTGGTCCGTGCACCAGTACCAGGTGGCCAGGATGGTGAGGCCGAAGACCAGTCCGGGCCAGGGCATGTCGCCAGTGATGGGGTCCCGGAAGATGTGGAAGGCGTCTGGGCGGGGCGTGTAGCAGGTTGCGTTGATGTTGGCGCTGACGTTGGTGGGGATGGAGGTCATGTACTTGTTATAAAAGCTGTTATAGCCCCCCACTTTATCGAAGGCTGCAGAGAGTAGATTTGGGGAGAGGAGGTATTATTTAGTGCAGGTGGTGGAGGAGGTTTAATGGGAGGAGCAAAAAGAGGAGGTGCGAGAGGGGAGTAGTGACAAAAAAGCTTAACGCACCATATCCCATTAGGATGAAGGAGCCGATGACCATGATGATGGTCTGCAGGGTGTCGGTGTAGATCACCGCTGCCAGGCCACCTGAGCAACAGGAAACGTCACACACATCACAAACGGCGTAGGTACCGGGGCACACCCAGTGCAGAGGCAGATACAACAGATGCAGTTACACACAGCAGAAAACAGTCAGTCAGGAAACAGTCTGTCATTCTGACAGAGAACAGCTACACACTGGGTCAGCAGGGACATGAACACCCTGGCAGATTCAGGGGGCCCAGCACTTAACAGGGGCCCACACTGCATTACAGAAGCCCCACACTGTGTTACAGGAGTCCCACACTGCGTTTTGGTCCCGGCAAGCTCCACAATGTGTTACAGAAGCCCCACATTGTGTTACAGGAGCCCAACACTGTGTTTCAGAAGCCTCACACTGTGTTTCAGAAGCCCTATACTGCAATACAGAAACACCACACTGCAATACAGTTCTGGGATGTCCTACATTGCGCTACAGAAGCTGCACACTGCGGTATAGAAGCTCCACACTGATATACAAAAGCTCCAAACTGCGGTACAGTCCCAGGAAGGCCCACACTGTGTTTCAGACGCCCTACACTGCATTACAGAAACCTCACACTGCAGTACAGTCCCAGGAAGCCCTACACTGCATTGTAGAAGCCTTACATTGCATTTCTGAAGCCCCACACTGAGTTATAGTCCCAGGAGTAAATCTCCAGATTAACTGCAGAGCTGACTGCAGATCACATGGACTTTAATCATACTCATTCACTCTTTTGCCGATAAGTAAGTCACGCTTTCACAAGGCTTTTTTGTAACTATGCTGCTTCCTGCACGTGAACACACGGCCCTGAGGACTGTTCCTCAGGCACACTCAGGTTTTATTGAGGGCTCAGTTGTAATCAGAACATTAATGCTGTGCATAAGTTAATTAATACAGTGAGAACAACTGACTTGTCTTCAAAGTCTTTGAAGGGGAAACTAGAACTCAGGCACTCCAGAGGTATAAAAGACTGGATTTATATTTACCCATAGGCATTATATCTAAAAACTGAGAATCTGCTCATCTTAACAGACCCCTGTGACTCTGCTCCGAATAAGCAGATGGAAGGTGAATGGATGGATGGGTAGATGGATGGATGGATTGATGGATGGATGGATTGTATTATAATACAAATAGTCCAGATGTACAGTACATAGACAGAGAAAGACAAATAAAGATGCATAAAAATGGTCTGTGATGGTGGGTAGATCATGTGACCTGTGACCGTGTAGAGGGCAGTGATCAGCAGCAGCAGCACCACGGCGACATAGATGTTCAGGTGCAGGGCCTGGTTGATGAATATGGCCCCAGAAAACATGTCTGCCTGAGGGGGTTGAGATGGAAGGGACACATTAGCCTGCGAGACGTCAGACAGCATGGGAAGTGACGGGCTTTCACAGGAGATCACTGGAATGCCAGGAGAAGTCCATTAAGCTCTGGAACACCAGATCCACTTTAAAAACATTTCAAGGTCAGCGGTACAGACTAAGTAACATAATGAAGGAACATTTGACAGACGGTGGAGAAAAACCAGGGCTGTACCAAGCAGCACAGACAGGGATGAAGTTCATGCTGAAGAATCTGACACTTTGACGCATCATTAAGAGTTCAGTTTCCATGGCTTCTAAAGGCTCCACTTCAACCCAAGCTGCTCTAGTCTGTAGCTCTGTGTTGGACTCACAGAGATTTTCGTGAAGATGTAGAGTAGCAAGGACAGCACAGAGAGGTAGATCCGAATACGCTGTCCGCCGAACCTCTTCTTCAGGTACTCTGGCATGGTGACCACCTGCAAGTGCAGCAGAACAATTCTTTAAAGCGTGGAAGAGTGCACAGGCACGCAACGGGGAACATGAGTGTGGGGAAGAGCGGAAGGAGAGCTGTAAGGACACAAATGTGAAATACCAAAGGGAGATCGGGCATACAGCCAAAGACAGGGACTCACCCCAGCCTTGATGTAAATGGGCACAAAGAGCCACCCCAGGATGATCACCACGATGAGAGCCTGCAGCACGCACATGTCACACGTGCTCAGTCACTTAACACCAAACACCACCTACATATCCTCCCACTGCTACTAAAGCGAAGCTAACTTGAAACACTTTAATGACCCAGACTGCAAATATTTCTGCTTAAAACCACTCTAGTTGCTCTAGATAAGGGCATCAATATGAATGAAAATGAATAAATGAATGAATGACTGAATGACCAAAAAAAATGGAAGAATGAATGAATGAACTGATGAGTAAAACTTGACCAGTGATCAAAAGGTTTTTGATCATACAACACTTGACTTGAATGTGAAATGTTATCGTTGACATCTGACATTACAAAGCAATGATTTTCAGCAATAATTATACTTAAAAAATATGGTGGTAAACAGAGGTGGAAAGCTCAGAAAGCACGAGACCAGACCAAGATTTTGTTTCAACCAGCCAGCTGAGTACTCTGTGAATGTGACTTTATACTGATCTGGCTGGTTGAAACCAAGTCTTGGTTCTGGATCTGCACTTCCTGAACCTGAACTTTCCACCTCTGGTAGGGCATGATGTAGAAGAACATGGCAGCTGGCACTCACGTTCCACTCAAAGCCTCCGATGGCAATGCCCGCCGCTGCGCCCGTTCCAGCCAGTCCCACAAAGTGCCCGGATCCGATGTTGCTGGCAAAGAGTGATGCCCCGATCTGAGGAATTAGAGAGGGTCATCACGTGTCCTATTACAATTAGATACACCATTGTAACACCACCCCCTTAACCTTGTACAAACTGTACAAAACACTACAACAAGCCTGGTGTAGTTGGGCACCCCTATTCCAAATAAAATGGTACATTCCATGCGCGGAACCTCATATAAGGAATATTACTGCCCTCTGAGAGAGCAACATTACAAACCACCAGTCATTTAACCTGAGAGGAGCTGAATTACATAAGTATAGATCTGAGTTTAGTCAACAAAACATAAGGAGACATGCGCTGCAAATGTAGTTTGATTATACAAGCAATACATTTCCCAGAAGTTGTTTATACCCATAGAGAAATACGGCTCAGTGGAGCCCTGCTCATTCCTGACCATGCGATATGGGATCGGAGATGTCTGCATCTTAGCCTCATAGCGACTGTCCCTTAGCATCAGGGCTGAAACTGTGATCACGTTGGAGGTGGACTGCAAGTTCAACGGAGGCTCCGGTGGGGGGGG